AAAGCAAATGCGGGATTTTAACTGTATCCTTGAAGTAAATTTGGTAACGTTTCATTTAACCACTGTTCACATACTTCAAGAGGGACAGTTTTAGCTTCTCCATGAAGAGTGCGAAAGACATTGTGTGTGTGTTGCAAAAGAAGGGGCAAGATATCAGCTCCTAGGTTTTTTTTCTTGCTTTAAAAGATCCAAAAAAAAAATCGAGTTAAAGGGAGTAAAATTCGAAAAATCGAAAATAATTAGCATGAAATTGAAGATAAAAGGGTCGGGACCTCATAAAAAAATCGAGTTATAGTAATATTCGAGTTATCGTACTTCGAGTTATAGCGAATTGACTGTATATGCTAAATCAATTATAGATAATAGGTAATAAAATTTAGGAAAAGTTTTTTTTTTTAATGAAAAAGTTTTTTTCTTGAATGAATTCTAGTAATTAAAAGTATTTTATTTTCTGCAAATATACTTTTTTCTTTTTATACAAAAATTTAGTGCTAGAACACTAACGTTTATATAAATATTGTCATATTTGCCACCCACCCACTTCACCAAATGGATCATGCAATTATGACAATTTAGTCATTTAATAAAATTTTAGTTATATTATTGATGAAATTTTTGTTCTTATTTAGGCAACTTTCTTCATAGTTTTCGGCAACTATTTTCATGCTTTAGACTACTAAAATCAACTATTTTGTTCATTTTTTTCTGTGGAAACCCTGTTGTTTTTAGGTTTGCAATATCTTGTACTGCATTTCAAAAATAATATAGATAAATTCAAGTTCTTTATAATCCAAAGCCTCATGTTTCTAGGTTTACAATGTCTTATACTGTATTTCAAAAATAAATTAGATAAATTCAAATTCTATATAATCCAGAGCTTCATGTTTCTAGGTTTGCAATATCGTATACTGTATTTCAAAAGTAAATATTAAAAATACTACATGTATTTTTTGAATTAATTGATTAATGATTCAATTTTAAGAAATTATCTCTGTAACATATAAATTTTTTTTTTTTTTTTTTTGCAGATACTAATTTTAAAAAAAGGAAAGAAGCTGAAAGAAAAAAAGAAAGTGGAAGGTAGGTTTTTTTTTAAAAAAAACCTTCTTGGTACAATAGTATTTTTCTTTTAATCATTTATTTCATTAAAAAATACTTATTGTGTTATCAGTGCCGTTTTATGACATTGTCACGCTTCGGGCAATACTGAAAACGACCTCCTTAACTCAATTTTCAAAAAAGAATCTGTTTTTTTTTATTTACGCAATATCCTTGAATTGTTTCTTTGGTGTATTCATAATACTGTAGTGAATTGCTTTTTTATATTTTAAATTACAATATTTCTATCAAAAAACTGTAAAATTTATATTAATCCTAAACGTTTATTTGGGAAACTTGTGAACAAATATAAATAACAACGTATTCAGAGTTTTAAAAAAAAGAAAGCTGTTAGTTTAATGAATGAGAATATTGCATAAATATTCTAAAATTAATATTTATTACAGATAGTTAAAATTTTAATGAGCATAATATTTTATTACCTTTAAGCATAAACGTTACAATTTATTTTTTCATGCTTTAGCAGTCATGTATGGTTTTATAGACTGTTGAAAATCAATTGTTTTCGCAGTTTCTACATCATTCAATTTGTTGACATTTTGTTTAAAAAAAAATATGTTATTTTTATCAAATTCACTATTGTATTATTGTAATGAATGGTGAATTAATTCCTAATCATTCATTTTGAGGAATGCTATTTCTATTTTCTTTCTTTGTTAGAAGTTCCAACGTATGTGCATGTGGGGAGAGTCATATAGACAATGTCAACCTTCATCTATGAAAAAAATACCCCACCATAGAATCGAGTTAACGTGTCTTATGGCCGATCTAGCATGTCTACTACTGAATTTGAATTGTATTTTTATAGTGGTAGACACACTACAGTACTCCCCCACCAGAATTATAGCTGTCATAGAATTCGATGAATGAATAACAATCGCAGATTCATTGCTATTTTCTGAGAAGCTGGGTGAGCTGTATTAAGTTCACTGTCCACGTCGCTCTTGCGTTGCCATTAGCAGTCAAGTGTATAGACTGAGTAGCAACAAGGCGAGGAGGTGGATAATGGTACAAGTAGCAAGTCAACTTTCCAATGTGGACTATCCATCAAAGTAGGCGTGTTCAATTCGTAGTGGGAGTTTCTGTCAAATTAGGTATGTTCACATCACATCCGAAGGTCACCAATGTGTGGAGAGGAGTTATAAACAATATCAACTTTTATCTAGGAAAAGGTACCCCTACATAGAATCGAGTTAACGTATCTTATATACTAGTGAATTGAATTGGAATTTTAGAGTTGTAGACACACTACAGGGGGCAAATAATATAGTTAAAATAAAATAGTAGAAAAATAAAATAGTTTAAAAAAGTAGTTATAACTTCAAAGCTTATTTTAATTTGTTTACTTCATAATAGAAATAATAGAATCGTTTACGTACATTAATGTAGTGCATAACATGTATTAATAGAATAATACTATTTTTTACTATTAATGTATTAATAGAAAAAAATTTATTATTTTCATGTTGTATTGGATGAAACAAAATTTGGTTAACCGATTTCACGTCATCGAGGCTCGACTGTTTACGATGTTAGCGTTTTGATAGTGACTTGGAAAATGTACAATTTAAAAAATCTGTTGAAATCGTTTCTCTATTGATAAATTTGGAATTAGAATGAATTATTAAGAATGAATTCTTTTTAGTTCTCATAATTGGAATATATTGTTCCTTGGAATGAATGCTGTAGCTGATGCCATTGCAGAGAAATACAAAATTGAAAAGTCGCAATTACTCTCAGGGGTAAGTTATTAAAATATTACTTTTTTTTTACACCTAATGTATGAATGAGTGTTGGGATCTCTTCAAATGTGAGTGCGAAAATTGGAATCTTTCCCCTTTTCATTTGAAGCATTGTTGAAATCAACACACATAAATGTTGATATTTTATCCATTCGCCTTATCTTTGAAAATTAAATTTAATTTTAATATTAATTGCAGATATAATCAAGTAATGTTTTTGAAATGCAAAATAAATCTATGTATATAAATTGCAGTGAGTGCTAATGAAATTAGTTGATAAAAATGAAAGCATTTAAAATATTTCATTTCTATTTGTATATTAAGAAAAAAACTTTATGCCTTAATATATCACCACAATGTCTCTCTTGTAATCCTTATGGCAGAGTTTTTTCGAACTTTCTGTGACATAACTCTCCAGTACTAATATCTATCTGCTAGATACGTTTAATAACAGAAATACTTTCAATAATAGATACTTTAACAACAGATTGTAACAAATTTTAATAACAGAAGTGTTAACTTAAAAAATAAACTTTTTTTATAAAATAAAATAATTTTTTTCAATTGACTATGTAAAATGTTTTTTTTTTTTAATATTATCGGCGATGTTCACGCATTTTGCAGGAGAAAACACACTAATTATTTCCTTTTCCCCAGTTTTTATATTCTCATCTCATTAAAAAAAATTCGTGAAATCGATAGCTGTAACTACCGAAAAAATATGGAAAGCAAAATCACACAAAGGAAAAAATGGTTACTAAATGCGTGTTTTCGTTTTGAGATTCAGTTCCTGTAATAAATAATGTTGTATTAAAAATATAAGATCTTAAAAACTATGTGGAAATCAATAATAATTACTGTATAAAAAAATAGAACAACATTTCTGCAGAAAATAAAATAAATTTTTTTACTTCATAATACGTTATATTTCATTGCTCTCAAATGGAAATAGAAAAATCAGAAGCATTTTTTTCCACTCCGCGTGAAAGGCATCTTTTGAACATAATTCTGAAGAAAAAAGAAAATCTTAGGAAAATTTCTGCAGAAAAGAAAACCAAAACATTTTACTTTCCATTGGAAAAAGCTTTCTGTAAGACCTTGGTATCATTCTGCAACATTGTCGCCGTGTTGCCACGAGTCTGCTTTGGGGCTTGTAATCATTAGAATTGCTTTCTTTTCACTGATATCATATACAATCAAACCCCGCTATAATGAACCTTCAAGGATTTGAAATTTCAGTTCACTATAACCGGGAGTTCACTATATCCATACCGTAAACAATTTTGATTAATGTTTCTGAACTCCTTTTTATTTCACATTATTTAAATAAATGACCAATAAACACGGATAAAATGAAATACAAAAATAACTCAAAAACTGTATGTAGTAACAAAAAATTTGTTAAATTTTATTTTTTATAACTCTTCGTCTTGGGTACAAAAAATTTAGGGATGGGAAATTGAGATAAAGGAAGCAAACAAGAAAAAATGCTTACTGCTACAATCTACTCTATAGATTAGGGGTGCACAACCTGCGGCCCGCGGGCCAAATGCGGCCCGCGAGAGGTTCTAAACACAATAATTTTTTTTAAAAAAATTGCAATTTTTAGCACTTTTAAGTCATCACGTTTTGACACAATCAATTTTAACAGATTCTTTAGTAAATGTACCTTTAACGCGCTTTCTTTAAGCCGATTTTATCGTAAATATAAAAAAAAATTTTTTTAAACAGTTATTTCCGTTTTTCTACGTGATTTCGAAAAGCCCGAATTTTTATTACGACGCGAATTTCAGATCGCCCATTTAAATAATCACTTTTTGGTGCACTTTATTAGTGACGATTTCATCTTAAATTTCGTATTATAAAAAATTCCATTTATTCTATTACGACATGCAAATTTTAAATTGTGCATTTGACACGCTTTATTCGTGCTGAGTTCAGCATAAATATAAGTAATTTTTTCCCCCAATTATTTCTATACTTTTCCACATGATTTTGAAGATCCCGTTATTTAACTATGATGTTACTACGACACGTGAGTTTAACAATCACGTCTTCGCTCAATTAAATAATCACTTTTTGATACGGTATTTCGGTACAGTTTTATCGTAAATCCTAGGTATTTTTTCCGCAACGAACATTTGGTCGAATGTGGTAAGGAATTGTGATTTGGTCAAAAACCAAATATTCGGCAAAAGAAAAAGAAGAAAAAAATCGACTGAACGCCGTACACTTGGGGCCAAATAACAAACTCTTTTAGCAGCATAGCAACACTGAAACTAAAATTTCAATGCTCAGAATATATTTGCTGGAAAAACGTATTCATAAATTAACTCTAAAAAATAAGGCCAATCAAGAACGTTTTTGAAAATGTCGAAAGGCGAAGCAGAGAACATAAAAATCAATCTTAATTTTTGAAAGAAAATTTTAAAGCTGAACATCTCAGTTTTCCAATTACCAGAAAAAGCCAAGAAAAGAGAATTAAGTCAACAGAAATGCTATTAAAAAATTACTGAGTTATAATAAAAACGTCTAAAAAAATTTTTTTTTTATTTAAAGAGAATAAAAAGTTAGAAAAAACGTTCTTAATTTTTTAAATGAAAGATCTTATGCTGAAAATCTCAATTTAAATTTTTCTCATAGCCATAATTTTAGAAGAAAAAAAATTGCCATAAATTAAATTTTATTAGTAACTTTATTTTTTAAAAAAAAATGCTGAGTCATAATATAAATGCCTAAAAAAAGAAAACCAGAAAAAAACAAATTTTTCTTAGTTCCTGAAACAAAACTTTAATACTGAAAATCACACTTTTCTATGTTACTGGTTATTTATGTTACAGTACAGAGAAAGAGTGATTATAAATTAATAGTATGAGAAGTTCTGTTAAAATGCTGAGTATAATAAAAACAGCAAGAAATGGAAAAAAATCCTTCTCAACTCTCAAAGTATCAAAAAAATGACAAAATTGACTTGTGTGATTATAATTTTTTTTTAAAAGTAATATCTATAAAAATTCAAAAGGAAAAAAAGAAACTTAGAAAAATACATTTCAAAAAAATATTCTTCTAAAAAATATTATACATGACTGATCATACTCGTACACTCGTTACATCCCTAATTTAAATGCAATGTTATCGCAACTTGAGAAATTCATAAAATGACGGAAAACGTGAATTTTTAAACTGCTCACTGTTTGAAGTTTAGATTTCAATTTTTTCTTGCTTAAGTGATCTTTTGCGATAAAAAAAAAGAAAATGTTTACGATATAAAAAAATCTAATAATTAATAAAATCATAAAGTACATTACAAAATAAGCATTGAATTTTATTTTGAACCATCACAGTTTTGTTTTTATTTTAGGCTTTTGTTTAAAACCTATAAATTCTCTGCAATTAAAATATTAAATTTGAATTTATATTACTTAATTATGACTAAGTTTTTTCCTACTTTTATTCTGTGGGCATTGCAGTTTTTTTATTTTATTTATTAGAATTTAATTCTAAAATGAATTTTCGTATTGCATGATATGATAAAAAAAAACATTTCTTTTCTTCAATGTTTATTTATTTTGATAAATCTATTGTTCATATGATAAAAATAGCAATTTTTATTTTGTAAAAAAAATAAAAAAAGTTTTTTTATTTTTGAATGAATTCTAATAATGGAACACCTTTAATTTTTTACAAATATATTACTAAGTTTATTGATAAAAAAAATAGAACGCTAATGTTTAAATAAACATTACTACATTTGTCATTAACATGTCTAAATACATGTGCGGCCCTTCGTTAGGCAACCATCTGTGCAAGTGGCCCTTCACTCAAAAAGGTTGTGAACCCCTACTATAGATGGTTTTAAAAATCGGTATATGTATTATAGAAATTTCAAAATTACCAGAAAATAAAGAAAAAAAATCAGCCAAAGACAGTAAAAAAATCCTATTATCTAAATTCCTCTCTCTTTTTTTGGTTCACTATATCCACATAAAATATTATATGTACATAGCAAGGCAGGAGAGTAAACGTTTTTTTCACTATATCCGGGAGTTCACTATAGCGGGGTTTGACTGTATGAAAATATTATTACATTAAAACACACTGCATTTCCCATTTAAACTAATAATTATCCTATACTTAAGTGCCTAATTTTATATAATATTGCCTTTTTCATTAATTATCATCTGCTTGTATTAGTTGCTAGTAAGTTTTAAATTTGTTATTTCAATATCAATTTATCTTGTCTTATAAAGGGTTATATTGCAATAATTCAAATAATAATAATTAAATAGTCCTTTAATTATTTATTTATTTATTTTTTTTTTGGCTAATCATCCGTTTAAAATCAAAATTCTTTTGTGATGCTATTAAATATTGAAAATTTTAATTTATTGGGTATATCCCCATGTATGAATTCTCTTTTTAATTTAGTCAGTAAGTTCTAATTAAAACTTTCTACTGCCATTCTAAAAAATAAGAGCATATTATTCAGTTTGATTTTCTATAAAAATCAATCCTGTTATGTTCAGTTCCTATTTATTATTATTCCAATCTTATTATTATTATGTATCAATCCTATTAAATGTTGAATTTAGTACCATAGAGGAACTTGATTAATCACTCATCATGCATAATCATTAATCATCTGCAGACACAAAAGTGAAGCCATGAAGATTAATTTATGAATTGTGGAAGAATGAAAAAAATCAAACTTTGATACTGCAAAATTAGTAACAATCTGTGTGATGTTGAATTTACAGTGAATAATTCTAGAACTAAAAATATAATTTATCTTTTTATCTGATTATCATATTTTGACAGACACGTAATTTTGTTCAGGGACTATAATTAATGATTGCAGGTGATATTTTAGGTTACAAAAGCCAGAGTAGATACATGCTAAGTCTCCTGTTTTTTAATGAAGACTCTTGTATTTTACAACTATGTTATGACTATCCCTATCACCTGTATATTCTAAAATTTCTCCGTATTTGTTGTAGCAATTTTTAAAAAAATGGGCAGATAATATATCTGCTGATGTCAAAAATGCTTCCCTTATTCCTCAACAGATGGTGCTATTGAGAGTACTGCAGTATGTTGAGTGTTAATAGTTGATAATGGTTTTAAAAAATGGTTTTAAAAAAATCTTCTTTGGATAAAGATTTATATACATAGATTTTATTTCTCGATATGAAAGTGCTTATATTTTTTCCAATTTCGAATTTCTCTTTTTTATTTAAATGATTATGTATGATGCATCAAAACTTTACTCGTAGCCTAAAAAATGTCGCTAGTGAAATATCCGTTATTTTATTTCTCCAACGTTAGCAGGTATAAAGCTAGACCACATCTAGCTTTTATTATTTTGATTATGAGGCAAGTAGATTAATTCTCGTTCAATTACCTCTAATTTACTTTATTTCTGTAGGATTCTAAAAATAAGAAGAGTGTTGCTGTTCAAATGGCTTTAGCTGAAACTGAAATAGTCGAGAAAACGAGGACTTTCCTAGTCGAAAATGGGGTACAGTTGGATGCTTTCAGCCAGCCTACTGCTCAACGGAGTAAAACAGTGATAGTTGTCAAGCACCTGCCAGCAAAAACCACTGCGGCTGAACTGCATGAGTTGTTCTCCAGTCACGGATCCATTAAGAGGGTGCTGTTGCCACCAACAGGAGGAATGGTGGCACTCGTAGAGTTTGAAAACCCTTCAGAAGCGAAGACCGCATTCACTAAATTAGCTTACAGAAAAGTAAATTGCATTTTTCTTATATTTTTCTCTCCTAAGTCAGATAAACTACATTTTTCCAGGGTGTGTTGCATTTTTAAAAAATGCTTAATGGTGCTTATTTTTGATTTTGGTTTTTTAAAAGCCCTTAAAGGTGTTTATTTCATGGTGTGTTTTTAAAAAGTGCTTAATTTTCCCTTTTCCAAAATGAAATTTTTTTCTTTACCATGTTGATTTTCGCCACGTATTATGCAAAAGTGTGCTTTTTCACATTGTTCTATACAACGTTTTTACAATTTATTTTACCACTATCTATTTTGGCACAATCTATTAAATATTTTCGATTTTGTTAAATGTTTAATGCTCTTTAATTTCTTCTAAGGAGTAAAGTTCATAAAAAATTATGGAGAAAATATCTTCTTTGCCATTCCTATTATTAAAATTAGTTACCACCAATGGCGACAAACTACTATTTTTTTATCGCATTACTCGCTACACTGCATTAAAAGAAAAAAAAAGGAAAGGAAGGAGAGGAAAAAACGTGCAACACTGCAAGCTGCAAGAAGTGCTGCTACAGTAGTTTTACAATCTTTTTTTTTTTTCTTTCAAATTGTGACACTTTTCTGTGCAGAGTTCTGTTTTGTTTTCTTTTATGATACTCGAGGTAGTCAGTATCAAATTTGTTTTATGCACTGGAGTACAGATTGTTTTTAAGTGCCAACTCCTTCATTATATCCCCTTTGAAAAGAGTGTAGTAATCACTGTAGGAAATTAAATTTTAAAAAGGTATTTATTCGTAAAAATTTAAATTCATACATTAAATTTATTCTTATGTTAATTTAATGTAAGCAGAAATTGTTCTATGTTAAAAAATCTATAATATCCTACAAAGTTTTCTAAGAATCTTTTTTCTTAAATATAAAGAATATTCGAAATTCAATGCTCCAAAACTTCACTATTATTTTTTTTTTAAAAAAACATGTTTTATTTTTCATAAAATATTTAACTCTAGCACATTTACATTTATCTATTAAAAAAAAATTTCCAAATTATAAATAAAAGAAGAAGATTTAAAGTTCTTTGGTTTGATTGTATTAGTTTTATGTTGATCATGAAATTCTTTTTCAGTTCCATTATCTTCCTTTGTTTCTGGAATGGGCACCCATCAATAGTCTGAAAGATCCTCCTCTCATCAAGAAAGAAGATGTTGTAAGTGAATAACCTGTGATAAATTATGATTAGGGCTGCCGATCTGTCGCGGCGCAAATTACCACAATGATTTCCGTGAAATTGTCCTCTTTTTTTCTAAAATCCGAAAATTTCTCTTTTTGTTTTGATTTTTAAGGAAATTGCTTTAAATTAGAATTTTTGTTTTCATTTTTTAATTAATTTTTTTTTATTTATTTAACGGATTTTTTTACTTTACTGAAGCCTCTAGTTAAACATGTAAAACTGATTAGGCATTTAGGGGAGTGAATCAATAGCAAAAGAGTGAGAACTTTCTACACTTAGGGAGGGTGATTAACTGATTGATATTACCTTCTTGAAGTCAGTAAGAATACAAAGGAAAGAGGAATCACAAAAGAAAAAAATTTTATAATCAAATTTTTGACAGAAAAATTGTTATTCAGGCACAGGGCAACGGAATGTTTACTGCCTTTGTACATATTCAGACAAATTTTTCTGAGCGGCTTCTTGTGATTTCTTTTAGAGGGGCCTCAAGCTCTTTCAAAGCATAACGCTATCCAAAAATTGACCTAAGTGGTGGTAGAAAGATTGTTTTAAAAGTATATAAATGTATTAAGTGATGAACAACATAGCATAAATTAGAATAATCTGAGAATGTACAATACTTTATATCAAAATTCTGTTCATTTAAGTAAAAATATTAATATTGCCTGAAATTGAAAGAAATGTTTGTGTCTATTTATAACTTTTTATTCTTTATTTCTTACCACAAATAAGTTTCAGTTATATGGTTATACTAATTCTAACAGTCTTTTTGGAGTTCCGCGATCACCAAAGTATTTTCAAATGGGATGTTGGCTTTATTTTTGGCTATGTTATTTTTTGATAAATCACCAACCATAGATCTCTTCCCATGTTCCTAACTGTCGGTTGGGAACAATTCATTCACTTTCAATTTCCAATTTTTTGCGACTAGAGGTGTCCAAAGGCCTCCCAGTTCCAACTGTTTAATATCAATCTTATCAGAATGATTTTTCTTGATTCTTTTAAGGGGTTTTTCTTTATTTTTATATTTCAAATATGGCCATTTTTAATTTACCAATATTTACTTAAAAAATCAATTTTTTCTTAAAAGATTTTATTCATTTCTCTGAGATTATTACTATATTACATCCAAATTAAGATGTACCTGTAGCAACCAAAAATATGCTTAAAACTACAATGAGGCTATCCATACGAATCCATTACTAATTAATTTAAAACGATCGCTGCCACCACAAATTTTGACTTATCATTTCTGTTTATCTTTCTTTTTCAATGTTGAGAGAAACCTCTTTTGCATATTTTCAGGAGAAAAAAGAATCTGCTGATTCCACTGAGGATTCTACTGATATTCCTCTTTCGGAAGGGACAACCATTTATGTGAAAAACATAAACTTTTCTACTACACAAGAAAATCTAGAAAAGGTACCTACATATTTAATAAATTTTAAGTATTTAAATATGTTTGATTGAAATATATTTATTACCAGAAAATCAATTTAGACTTGGAGGTTGGGCAGCTCCGAAGAGCAGCTTACATTGACCAGAGCCTCGTGTCAGAATCGTGGCAACATTGTCGCAGAACATTACATTATAGAGTTCCTGCAATTTTTTATTTGGGAGGTTTTTTATCTGCAGAATTTTTCGAAATATTTTTTTTCCTACAGAACTTTTATTTTCTGTTTCTGCAGAATTATATTAAGAAAATGCCTTTCTCGCATATCGGAGGTGGAAAAAAACGCTCGGGATTTTTTTCACCCACTTTTGAGAATAAAAAAAAATTCTGCAATTATTGGCTCCAGCTGGAATTTCAGATTGATATTATAGAAAGAAATTTCCAAATAGCAAAAAATTTAAGGAAGGTTAACTATACAAATATTTTTGTTAGAACAGGAGAATATCGCCGATAATATTATAATATGTATTCTTTTATATTTAGATTTTTAAAAAATGAATTCTTACGTTTATAATAAAGAAATATATATACTGTTTTATTCTATACACAAAGGCTTTTTTGTAAACAAAAAGTGCTTCTGTTACTTTAAATTAGTAACATATATATTTGCTACTATTAAAAATGTCTCTCAGAAAGGTATTAGTACTCGAGAGAATTGTCACAGAAGGCTGGAAAAAATTCTGCCACAGGGGACCAGAGATCTATTGTACCCAAACCCTAAATAATGATTAACAAGAAAGCCTTATGGCTAAATTGAAGTTCAACAAACACCTGACAGGAACGTCTTGCCTTTCTCAGGTCTTAATGCAGTGTCACCCTAAACACTTAAATCTTAGAACAGAATAGACCTCCCAATCACAAAGTATATATCATTAAGTCTCTTTTTCAAGAGGACAAAGAGGTTCAATACCCATTATGTAAAGGTGTCTCCTGAGGGTGCAGTGTCCAGTGAGAAGAACACTGATTTTTCTCAAACTGTTTCTGTTTAGCTTAAGGAGCTCTTTTTGAAGTATAATGGGACAGTCACGATTCAGCTCTTTAGCTTGTCTCTGGCCATCAGAGTTGCGCCATTGCTCATGGGCAATTTTGCCATGGAGCTTGAATGTAGCTTATTATTTTGTCATGTCCTGAATGAAATTGCAAATGCTAATTGTTTAGTGCTGTGTCATCTAGAATCTTACGAGTTTTTACTAAAATGACTTTAACTATTTTATGTGTTTTAATATTTTTTTATACTTTCATTTAGCATTTTAAGCAGTGTGGTCCAATTTATTCTGCAACTATTTCAACTAAAAAAGATCCAAAAACTGGTTAGTATGGAACATTATTTCTTAATATTTTTCTTACTGCAGAATTTGCTGCAATTCTAAAATGCATTTAACTATGTAGAAAATAGTTACATGTCTATAATATATTGTTAATAGCATTTTTTAAGATTGTTCATTTAAAATTTTATTTGTTGTCATTTCTCATAATTTTAAGAGAAACTTTATTCTTTTATTTTAAATTAGTAGTATTCTATTAAGTGTTAAATAAATACGAGTATAAATCATACAAATCAAAATGAGTCTATCATTTAAAGGGTTGTCTCAGACAACTAAAATGCAATTATTTGCTACTATTTTCGGCATGAGGCGGCTATGGCAACTTTTTTTGGTTGTAAAGGTTAAAAAAGCAACTAGTTTCAGGAAAAGGAGACTTTATGGAAGGCTGTAGTTCTAACAAAGTGTTTTTTAGCATAAATTGGGTTGAAAACCTGCGGCCTGCAAAAGCTTCTGAACGCACTGAATTTTTTTTTCTCTTAAAAAATAAAAAATTTTGAATTGCAAATTTGGATAATCACTTTTTAATTCATTCAATTTGCCCAGATTTCATTGTACGTCTATTTTGTTTCTCGATTGCAATATATATATGCTAAATCAATTATTGATAAAAGGGAAAAATTTTTTAGAAAAAGTATGTTTTTTTTTTTAATGAAAAAATATTTTTTTTGAAGGAATTCTAGTACTTAAAAGCATTTACTTTTCTGAAAATATAATAATACAATTTTTAGCAACTATTTTCATGCCTTAGGCTGCTAAAAGCAATTATTTTGTTCATTTTTATCTGTGGCTACCCTGTATTTACAAAACATATGCTGGCAGTCAGTAATAGTGAAAATAAGTATAACTTGTTTCTGAATTCCTAGATCTGCAAGTATCAACCAAAACATTGACATTAATGAATATCAAATATGATATTGTGAGTGTTGTCAAATTTTATTTCGGTTACAATAATATTGCTTTATATAAAAATGATTAAAATTAGTTTGCTTATTGTGATAGATTGTGAGAAATCGATATTTCTATGTTGAGGAATTAATACATCCAAGCACAAGCTTTAATTTTCGATAATTCTAACATCAAAATTTAATTAATGTTCACCACACTTTACTAAATTGATCCTATCTATAATCAAATGATCCTATCTATAATCATAAAAATAAAGAAACAGGCCAAATTTGATATGGATAGATGGTATTAAACATTTTAAACTTTTGGTATTAAACACTAAAAATTGGAAAACACTAGCAAAAAGAGAGGTTAGCCAGGAAAAAATTTCTTGAGAAGGCCAAGGCCCTCAGCCAGAGAAGTGTCCTCTCTCGTCCCGCCCCCTAATTATTCCATTGATCTTTATTACTCACATTATGTCATAATTTTGATTTACTAAATATTTAGTATTATGTTCAGGATTAATTTGATTTATAGTAGCTTCTTATGCAGTTGAGTTTGTGAACTCTGCATGGATTCTTCAGACTTTATAGACCTCTAGAGACAACTATATCACTTCAGACTTTCAGTGCCTACTTTTGCACTTGACTCCATAGCATTAAAGGGTTTTAAAAAGGCAACAGACAGTAACAAAGTTAAATGAATTTATTTAACAAATTTAAACAAAGCTAAGCTAAATTCTTAAAACATAAATTCCATGAAATCAGTACCACAGCATACACTGTATCTACAAACAAGAAGAGAGCCGATTACGCAGTCTGTGTCACACTTAAATACACGTCGAAGCATCTCTCAATCATGTGCACTTCCTCAGGATCCTGATGTGCGTTGACTGCCATTCAAACAAAACTAGGAAGTATCAGTTCAGTTCGATAAATCACTCCTCTGTACAGGTGAAATGTTACTCCTTTCAATTAACCTACTGGGGGGCCGGGATAGCCTGGTCGGTAGGGCGCTGGGCCCATATCCAAGAGGTCGTGGGTTCGATCCTCGCCGACCGAAGACTCCCCGTGTAGTAAATGGTGACTGATGCACGTTAAATCTGTCGAGTCTCAAAGTCCTCCATGTTCCCACAACAAATCAATACCTCTGGGGGTACTGATCCAGGAGTTTCCTTGTCTTCTGGATTGGTTCAAAATTACAAGGCTACGGAGTTGAACGGAAGTAGTCGAAAACCCATGAAATTGGGTCGGCTGTTCAACGACGGTTATAAAATAAAATAAAATTAACCTACTGGAGAGCCGGGATATCTTGGTTGTTAGGGCACTGGATCCCTGTACAAGAGATCACAGGATCGATCCCCGCCGGCTGAAGTCTTCTCGTGTAGTAAATATTGACTGATCCACGTTAAATCTGTCGAGTCATAAAGTCCTCCATGTTCCCATAACAAATCTTACCTCTGGGGGTACTGATCCGAGAGTTTCCTTGTCTTCTAGATTAGTTCAAAATTACATGGTTATGAAGTTGAACATTAATAATCGTAAACCTAAAAATTAGGTCGGGTGTTCAACGACTGTTATGAAATAAAATAAAATCAACCTACTGGATGAGCACCAAAGTACAAGTCGCTACTACTTAAAAACTTAGTCTGTGTTCAAATTCAATCAAGTATCAGCTTTAAAAGAAAGAAGAAAAAACTTCAAATAAGTGTTGACCAAGTACACCATGTGGCAACTCAAGCCACGAATAAGGTTAAATCCCCACAAAAGGGATTTCTACTAGGCGTCTTCCCTAACCGAGGGAGAATTCAATCAGAATGAAACTTGAACTGGCGAGATAAACATCTCGTGGAATCGGAAAAATCCGATTTGAATATATAATGCATAATCAGGAAAATTTTATGTTTATTTGTGTTTATGTTTAGTGTTCCTATTGTTATGTTTAAATAAATATATAAAAAAAGGAAAATTTGGAAAATTATTACGGAAATACGGACATGCTATCACGATTGAATGGCGCAACCTAAAGGCTTGATAAAATAAATATTACAATTTGGTGACCAACGGACGTTATCTAGTATGGAATTAGGAAATTGTGGTGATTTATAAATTACGAATCTATGAAACTATTACGAGAAATCTATGAATTACGAACATTCATTAATTGGCACGGAATAAATATTGTCGATGAAAATATCTTCAGATAGTGAAACGCTGAGATTTGAGGTAGGTCCATTTTTCTTTGTTCCAATTTATTGATATATAAAATGGATTTAGAACGAATTAAGGAAAAACGAAAAAGGTTAAGAATTTCATTTAGTAAGCATTTAACTAAGATAGAAAATACGATAGGAATTGAAATTTCGAATGAATACACGAAAGAAATGAAAGTGAATGAGCTTTTGAGCTTAAAATCTCAGCTCACAGAAAAATTAAATGATTTAATTAAAGCTGATGATGAAGTGCAGTTAAAAATTGAAATAGAGGATATGGCAGCTGAAATAGATTTAAGTGAAGAATATAAAGATAAGGGTATTGAAGCGAAATCGAAAATAGAAAGGAATTTAGAAAATTTAATTGTTAAACCACAAGGTGTAATTCAGATAAGCGAGACAAATGTCGCGGCAAATGTAAATAACTCTGTTCAGTTTGTACCACATAACGTGCAAAATACTTCTAACGTTCAAAACGAAACTAAAAATATTGTCAAACTCCCGAAACTAAATATTCAAACTTTTTACGGTGATTGTAGTTATTTTTTAGATTTTTGGAATTCTTTTGAAGTTGCAATACACAATAATACTTCATTATCGAAAATAGAAAAGTTTACATATCTAAAATCCTATCTAGGAGGAGTTGCATTAAGTGCAGTATCGGGATTTTCACTTACGGATCAAAATTATGACGCGTCAATACAATTGCTGAAAGATAGATTTGGGCGAACTGATATTATAATGTCAACACATATGCATAAACTGTTATTAATAGATCCTGTTAAATCTTGTAATAATATTGTTGGATTAAGAAAAATGTATGACGCAATAGAAATCCAAATTAGATCTTTACAATCATTAGGAGTAGCTGCAGGAACTTATAGTAATCTCCTATGCCCAGTAATTCTACAAAAATTACCCGAGGAATTGAATTTAAATTTTAATCGGCAACGTAAAACAGGTGAATTATTCGATATTTCTTTGTTGCTTCAATTTATTAAAGATGAGGTAAATTGCAGAGAAGCAGCATTATTATTAGCGAATCCTAAAAATGCAACTGTTAGAGATTATTCATTTAAAAATAAAACAGATCAAAGTTACCCTAATAGGCCTCATTATTCGAACACTAAAAGGAATGATTATTTGGGCAATAAATCTAGCGCCGCAGTTTTAGCTACACACGTCGAAGAACGATATTCACACCCTCATAAATTTGACTCTTACGCGAAAACAAATTACAATTCAAAGCGAAACTTTAATACTTCCTATTCTGATAGACATGTGAATAATTTAAAATGCATTTTCTGTTCTAAAAATCATATGAGTCATGATTGCTTGTTAAATGTGTTTGAGAAGAAGAAAGCTTTAATGTCTAAGGGCTTATGTTTTATATGTTTTCAAAATCATTTAAGTAAATATTACATGGTGACCCGCGCAACCTAAAGGCTTAATAAAATAAATATTACACACCATGTTGTACCTTAGACCAGTTTTTCTTATTTAAAAAAAATCTTAAGTGTATGTCAGTATTTAATGATGTATTTCCCACAAAATTTCTAATTATTAAGTTATTACTTTCAGGTAAATTATTTTCCATGGGCTTTGGATTTGTCCAGTTCTTAAAGAAAGAGTCAGCTGTTTTTGCCTTACAAAACCTTCAACAGTCTATTCTTGATGGACATCCCCTGGAGTTGAAATTTGCGAATCGTTCAATTACGTAAGTGTTTGCTTTTAATGTCACAAAACAATGTTTAATTGCAGTATTTATTTTTCAATGTTGAAAACTATTTAATTTTTATTTTATTTCCTTGCCGTGTAAACATATAAGAATATAATTTAACTATTTCTAGTTTTGATATTCTATATTTTTTATTAATATGTAAAAAAAAATTATTATATCTGTTAATTTTGCCTTCATATTCCTTTGAGAACATTCTTAAATAGCTTTTCTCTGTCAACAACACCATCTGTTCACAAACTTATTCCTTGGCAAAATATAGCAAATCAAATATTTCTATCTTCTTCCATTGCTCTTTCAATTGTATTTTCAAATTATCAGCCATTTTTACCCCACCCTGTATAGTGTAGTTCAGGGTTTGTAGTTGTCCTGATTTTCCTGATAAAAAATATTCTGTCCTAATTTGTCCTAATATTCCTTTTTTTTTTAAAATAAAAAATAAATAAAAGAATCTGATTATGCATTTGCTGTACTTCAAAATAATCAATCTGATAAAAAGTTAAATAACATTGTAGGTAGGACTCAATTCCCATAATAATACTTTATTAAAAATATCAGGATTTAAAAAAAAAAAACTGCAGAAATCAGCACAAATAATTGTTCAAAAACGACAGGAATTTATTCAACTGAATAAATCTATTCTAATGAATGTGTAATCATTTTTATAATACATTGAATATATTATGTAAGTTCAGTATCAATAAATTAGATAAGTATTAAAGGGAGAGAAAATTATTTAATGTCTCATGATTTTAAGTACATTAGTTTAATACAGAGTTGTATGATTTAAGCCTTACAAGTAAACTAAATGAATTTTTTTTTAAATCTTTAAATTATAGTATTTTTTTTTAAATTATTTATATAAATACTTTTAATTTGACAAAAGGAAATTTTTACACAGATTTTTAATTTTGAGTTTAATTGTTAAAGTAGATCTGCCTTACTTCAAATAAACATAAATGTGTAATTTTTACATGTTTACATATCATTGTGTTCCTGAAAAATAATGTGAGAAAGTTTTAGGTTAGCTCATGTCTCTAAAAATGCTTCAGCAATGCTAAAGAGACAATAAAAGTTCGCAAAGTTAGTTTTAAATAGTTAATTAAAATTTTACATTTTGCCTAGTTTCATCCTTTATAAATATAATTATTTTGAATAGCTCTTATGATTTTGAAAATTATTTAAATCTTACGTGTTGAGGATTACAAATGGTTACTATCTCAATCTTTTTTAAATTATATGTATCTTAAGAATGTTTAATTTCATGTATGTTAATTTTTCAAAACTCTATTCTAAACAGTATGACGTGTTTTAGGGGTCCAAAACATTTACATTTATCTGCCACAGGGCCCTATTAATAAGTACAGCATATTGCAGACTATTAATAAGGATATTCATGTGTTTTCTGTTAACCTGCATTTGAAAAAAGATTCAAAATTTTATTTAGCCAGTATTTTGTAATCATGTAAAACTTGAGATTTTTCAAGCCCTGATTCGAAATAAACAAAAGTGTCAGAGATTCTCCTGCTTTTGAACTTAATATCTACCAAAGCTCTTAAAAGGATCACAATTATTAATAAAAACTTATGAAAAACTAAAGTATTACTTATACTGTTGCTTAGCTTCCATTTTTACTGGATTTACCAGTAGACTATTGGATTTTGCCTGTTTCTCCTGGTCTACTGTTTTAATAAAAATTCTCCTGTTTTTTTGTTTTTTTTTTAATTTTAAAAAAATTCCTAAAATTGTGTAAGTTTTCTAAAAAAAATTCCTTTTGAGACAGAATTTTTACCCAATTTATTGCTTGATTGAATATTTTAATAGGTATTACTCATACATAATGAAGTGTGTCTCATTTGTAGTAATCAGTTTAAAGTTTTTTTTTTCTCTTTTAATTTTTTATTTATTTATTTATATTCTAAAATTTTTAGTTTATTTTTATTCAGAATTCGCTTTTTAAATCAATTAAAAGATCTTTTAACCATCCCTAAATTACATCTTTATTATTCTTCAAAATTTTCAGTTACTATATTAAAAAACATTACACTATCAAGTTCATTTAATGTCAATCATAAATAGAAAATATTATGGACTATTTATTGTGAGTTAGTGTAATAAGTTTTTTTATTTCGATGTTAACGAAAATCCCTAAAATTCCCTATATGTAAAATATTTAGTATATTATGCGACAGTTATCCTGAAATATATATTCTTTCTTTAAAGCTACTATATTTTTTCCATCTATGTGATGTTTTCTTAACCCCTTAACAGTATATATTTCAGAAAAATGGAACATTTTTTTTTTGACTGTTTAATTTTGTTCTTTATATTATTATGAAAGTTAGAAAATGGTTTTTATTACAAAAATAAAATTTTAATGCAATAACTACTGTATTTATAATTTTTACATATGCATAAAAAAGTAATAGATTACACACACAACTTATTCAATTAGATTTTGAAGCTAAATATAATATAACTGGTATAATATAATATAAAAATACAACAATACATAAATTTTACAAATCTTTTAAAGTATGGCAACACCTGACAACACCCACGTTTTCCTTCACTTGACTGAAGTTGTAATTGGTGAAAAACTAGGATCACTAATGCCATCTATTAGGAAAATAGTGAATTAAGTATCCTAAAATAGAAACAAACTCAGTCCGGGCTTCACAAAATAGAAAAGTTAATTTTTCTCCTGCCCTAAGTCAGTTAGGGCATTACAAATACTGCATGTAGTAGTTGCTCGAACTGGATTCGGTCAACATTGTCAAGGGGTTAAACTATTCATAAGAGTTCAAATTTTCATAAGTAATATTATATGATTTGTTTCACAAATATGTTCTATTTTTTTAGATCTACTCAAGCTGTAAAACGTAAAAAGTATGAAGTGAAGGAACAAACATCTTCTAAAATTCTTGTGAGAAATGTTCCATTTCAAGCATCTGTTGGAGAAGTTAGAGCTTTATTCAAGTATGCTTTATTTTTCATATTTCTTAAGTCACTGATATTTAATTTATTATTTTCCTACATGTTTTTGTCATTAAATCTTTATTAATTTTTTATAAAATTAATAGCGCTATAATTTTGTAGGAATTTTTTTTTTCTATTTAACTTCATGTCAGAATGTGCAAAAGAATTTTTTTTAAAGTTGCTGATTTGTTACTTGTGATTTTAAATGAACTAATTGAAAATAATTTGTTCATTATTTTTGTTTTAATTGTTATTTGTCAAAAATAAAAAAAATCTTGTAAAAACTATTAATTCATAAAAATCTGCATATTATAATAAATTACTGTTTAAATGAAATTGAGAAAAATTTGCAGAATCTGAAGAATGATTACACTGTTCAATTAAAGTAATCATGGGTTTAATATCATGAAGGATCAGTTTATCTATTGGATAAAAATGTTGAAATGTGCCACTCAAATTCATCCATTTAGTAACCTTTCTTATATCATTTACATGTAACCTTAAAAATAAGCTCTGCAATGTCTAATATTTAGGTTTTTTAAAATAATTCTAAAAACGATTATGAAACAGCAGCCTTCCCAAATAGCAAAATAAGGTTTATTTCCACTCAGCAAAAACCTTTCAATGTGAGCTTAAAAAGATTTGTAATGTGGTTTACGTGTAAACCCGCTAACCTTGAAGCGAGATCCGTGACAATCTGCTCTATTCTATGCACATTACCCTAATCCAAAACCTTGGAAAACAATCTTCCATATAAAACCCTTAAATCAAGGTTAACTTAGGGTTTTCAAGTGTGAAAAAATCCTTGAATGAAGCTAGTGTCAAGGTGAAAATAATCTTAGATCTATGTAATTATAAGGTTTCTTTTCACAACGTCTTGTATGCTCAGCTAAAATCCAACCTTGTCATGAAATTTTAAAGGACAATGCAATTGGATCCTATCACTAGTGTGACGTCACCTAAGACGTCATTATGAACCTAAGTGGCAATACTTTTTTTTTAAAAAAAAACTTTAAAAAATAATTTTTAATCCTTTTCGGGTGAAAGGTTTGAAATTGCAATATTTATGCTTTATTGAAAAAAGGTTTTTAGTACAAACATTTTCGTGACAATAAAAAGACAATTCCGACACTAGGTGTTCGTAAGGTTACATGCTTTCTCAGTTTACATATATATGCAAGGTGTGGGTAACTCAAATTCTTTAACAGATCAAAATAAAAGTCTTTAAAAAATTTTCAATAATTAAGTAAATATTATTTTTTTAAGGAGCCTATTTACATTCTTAATTTTTAAAAATTTCATTTAACTTTTTTTATTTTTTTACTTTTTTTTAAAATTTTGATGAAAGTCTTGTTTTTCTTTATTAATTCATCATCATTATCAATATTTTGCAAAAGCTTCAGTTTAGATAATTTGTTTTGTACATTTACTATTCAATGCATACTCGCAGGGTTGCTGCTCCACAGTGAGAATAGGGAAGACTTGGAAAATACAGGGAATTTAAAAGTCACCTAAAATAATTCAGGGAATTTTGAGTTTTTCCTTACAGGCAGGGAAAATACAGGGAGTTTTATTTCTTACTTTTGTCTTTTAAAAGTGGTGACCACTCAAAGCGTAATCTATGGAATATTTAAGGATGATATGTCATGTATAGCAAACTATTTTATTTACTGTAGCATTATTTGTTTTAAGTATGTTCAGATGTTCCTTATTTCTTTAAGTTTTTAAAGCAATTTAAACTAGTATAGCTAGACTAATATAGCTCACTCAAGAGCACAGAGATTGTGTGTTTCATCTTCATATATTGTGTATAATATGTACTGGGAAAACAGAAGGAATTTTTTTTCAAGATTTGAGTGGCAACCTTGACTTGTTGTTTCATGTCTAATTTTTGAACTTCTCCATTTTTGTCGCATCCCTAAAATTGCCACCTTTAAATGTTTTGCTTGTAAGTGTAAAATGCAAATCTTAAGTAGTTCTTAGTAGGATCTATTTATTTTTTGTTTTTTTAACTATCCGCGAACACCAGGAGTCTGTCATGGGCAATTTTACTACCATTTAGCGGTACCTGCACAAATTCAACTTTAAGAAAAACAGTAGCTTCACAAAGTGCTTTTAAAAAAGCAAGTTCTAAGATTCTTCTTTCCTCCTCTTAAAATGTTTTTGTATCCCAGTAAGAAAAGATAAATATCGGGTTAATTCTGCATATATGCTTAGGTAGTATATGCTAGGTGAGATAGTGTGGTATAGTAAGCCTAACCGGTCACTTACGTTATGTTTTAGCAAGCTTTCTTTTTAGAGAATTTTTTTTTTTAAATTAAACGACGAGGCACTCCCTCGGTAAACTTTACAAGAAGTTGAAATTCGAACATCGCTCTAAATTTATTCTAACAGACCTTCATTTTTTTTTATGAAAAATGTTTTTTCTCTGTGAAATTGTTTTCTATATGACCCCGAGGGAAACATTCTTGTATTGTAAATACCTTTCAATGTAAGTACCGTTAAATGCATACTTTTTTAAAATTCAAAATAAAAATGGACAATGATTTTTAAGGGTTTTTAAATTGGGATACAATTTGAGCCCAAAATTTTACAATAGCAGAATCATTTTTGAACATACGGTGAAAAAAATATTAAAATTTACCAGTCTTACTGAGCTGGGTTCGATGATATTCTTTCATGTGCAACTCTGCTGCATTTTGCAAGATATTCTCCATTTCAGGCTTCATTTTTCACCCGCTGAAGTCAAAACAAAAAATATCTCATCCTTTTTATGGTGGCTAATATAATCAAGAAAAGAGTTCTTTGTAAGAAACTAGTTATTTTATCATGATCATGTAAAGTCTTTGAAAATGATTTTGTATTCTGTTAATGTATATAGTGCTTAAAAAATAGTTTTTGAGTCCTTAAAAAGTACTTAAAGGGTGCTTATTTTTTGGCTGCGCATCCTGATATCTCTTGTATCGCTTTATAATGCTTCAATATCATTGTTTGTTTTTCTATTTCAGAGAGTTTGGTACTCTGAAGATTGTGAGACTGCCAAAAAAACTTGGCAAAGCAAATGAACACAGAGGTTTTGGTTTTGTTGAATATCAGCATGCTGAAGATGCTAAAGTGAGTGTTTTTATATCATTTTATGTGAAATAATTTCCTTTTATCCACTAGGAATGAAAAACTTTTTTTTCCTTCTGATTTCTTAAAAGTTATACCATTCTGCCATTTTCATATCACGAGAAAAGTCTCCCCAAAACCCTTTATTCAAAGTGTGTTTGAAAATAGATGGTGCTTTCAATTCTAGGGAAGCTTTTGACTACCTAAACTTCCTGGATGTGTTTGGAGGCCATTTAGCTCATAATGTGTGTTTTTAAATTATCTTCAGTAGTATTTCTTGTACATGTGTATTTGTTAACTAATTTATTATTTGTGTTTAAATGTAAAATCATATAAGACTCATCATTTGAAGACTTGTCATTTCAAGATGTAAGAATTGTCATTTCTCAAAAGAATCTTTATAAAAAAAAACTTCTTACCTTGTTGGCAATATACCAACTTCGAAATTTAAATCTCATTGATAATTAGTAAAATGAACTTTATCTCGCTGCTCGAACAATATACTAACACTAGTGTATGATGGTGCATGGCTTACTCCAGGAACAAACAGTAATAAACAAGTAAAAAGAGGCCAAATCAGAACTGCCGAAAAAGGAGAGTTCTTTCAAAATCTAGCAACCATGTCACCTTTTTTAGGAATATATACCTAAATAACTAAAACGAAATTTCCGCTTCAAACTAACCGGAATTACTTAATATCATTAATATCTTATGTATAGGAAATTTGAGCTCAGAAATTATATAATTTCTTTCTTTCATTCAAAACGAAATTATCTGCTTGAAAATATCACCTAGCAGAATAAGCTGTAGTGAGCAGTTGTATACTTTCTAACCGGAAGTAGAGCAGGTCAAGAGCTCGAGATTGTTGTTGTTTACATTTTTGCTGAAAACTCCATCCATACTGATGATAACTTGTATCATCAGTACTTGTATGATACAAGTAGTTTATATTTGTATTAAAATAAACTAAAATAATATGAAAAGAGCAGATATAAAGCCACATAAACAGGCTGAATTTTGCTTTTTTCATCTGGTGTTAAACTTGTGTATACAGCACAAAGTTAACCTTTTTTTTTATTTGTGTACTTATAGTTTAACCAACATGTTCAAAAACAAGCAAACTATAGGGAATCCTCGAAATTAACTTAAAAGTATGCTATTTTTTGACGGTGAATTTTTTAATTAGTTCGCTTATTAATTATATAAACTTAGAATTAAGTTTTGCAATTTTTACTTTACATTACAACTTTTTTTTTAGTTCTTGCAGCTATGTTTAATTTTTTAGGATAATTTTATTGTTTATTTTATAATTAAATATTAAAAATAGTATGTTTTTGTCTTTTATTTTATTTATTTTTTGCTTGTTGTTTAAAAACATTATTTTTTAATTAATTATTGTATTAGATTTAACTTAATATGAATTAACTTTAATTAGATTTGTTTGTATGTTTGCTAAATACTTTTTAGGATAATTTGATATTGTGTTAAATTTTTTTTTTAATTATGTTCTTTTAAATAAATATCGCTCAATTAAGTTTTACAGTCTTATTGGTTTTTATCTTTCTTATAATTAATATAAGTTAATGTACTGAGTTTTAGTTGTTTGTGTTTTTATTTTCAAAAATGTTCTTGTGTTGATTGAACGGGATTTAACTTCGATTATTTACAGATTATTTCTACATTTTTATTATATTTTTGTAACAACTTCGTACTTATAAAAAAAATTGCTTTTGTTTTATTATTATTATTTTTAATTATTGCCTAGTAAATGCCCTTAGTCTTATTTTTCATTTCATTTACATTTATAATTTTGCAATTTATCATTTCTAATCAGAGGAGACATGATTTAAATCGCTTGATTTAAAAAATAATAATAATAATTTTTAGATACTTACTTACAATTGAGATTTTATTTATAATTCTAATTTGCATTTTTATTTTTTGATTTGTATTGTTAAGTTCAAAATGAAGATAAAACAAAGAAAAATAATATACATATGAAAAAGGGGGGGGGGAATAATAAGTAAAAAAATAACAAACAGCAGTTTAAAAGAAAGAAAAAAAAGGATGAAATTTTATTTAAAAAAACCGGGGGGAAAAGATATAATCTTTTCAAACGCAAAGCAGAGTGCTTTCTGATATTGTATCAATAAAGCCAAAGCAAAATATATTAATACAATAGTGTGAGGAGCACTCAAAAAAAATTTTTACAAAAATTACAACAAATAAAATAAAATAGAACACAAGAAGTAAAAATAACATGTTAAAACAGAAAACAAAATAATGAAAAGATACTTTTAATTGATAGAAAGTGTGTCTAAGGGATGTTTTAGTAAAAATATTAGTTTGATTTTAAAAATCATTAATCAAAACTTTTGCAATTTGCACATATTTAATTTAAATTATTCTTTATTAAAACANTTTTTGGATTTTTATTTTTTTTTATATTTCTCTTTTTTCATTGTTTCATAATTTTTTTTTTAATGTTTTCTCTACATTTTGAACTTATATATATAAATATTTATATATTTAAAAAAATAAGAAAAAGCCATGAAACAAAATAATGAAAAGATACTTTTAATTGATAGAAAGTGTGTCTAGGGGATGTTTTAGTAAAAATATTAGTTTGATTTCAAAAATCATTAATCAAGACATTTGCAATTTGAACATATTTAATTTAAATTATTCTTTATTAAAACATTTAATCATGTTAAATGTCAAGTCGTATTGAAGATTGATGTGTGGAAGTTTGATTTGTTAAAATCTATAAGTCTTCTACATTAGTTGATAGTCTTTTTTTTCCCTGATATATTAGAAACTACCAATGCCAGTGATTAGAAACTACCTATGATTTTTGAAATAAAACTAATATTTTTACTAAACTATCCCTTGGACACATTTTCTGTGAATTAAAACTTTTAATTGATTCAATAAGCTTTTGAATTACATTTTTCTTTTTATTTCTGCATTACCACTTTGCTTTTTCTTTCTTCTCATTAATAAAAATATTTTATGATAATTTTTTCAAAACTTTAATAGTAATAAAAAAAGCCTTTTGTTTTAATTCCTTTTACTCTTTTTATATATTTTTTGAGGGTACAAATTTTACTTGTGAACACAGTATATTTAAGACAGATTGATATTTAAAAAAAACTGACGTGTTAAGTTTTTATGTAGAAGCCAACAATGATTTGTTGATTCCAAGAAATTATTTCATGTGCGTATTACCACTTTCCCTTCAACTCCGTAGTGTTATTTGCATATTTTAAACATTTTATTTTTTAACATTAAATTTAGTTAAATCAAACCGAAATCTTTTTTTTCTTTAATTTTATATTACCTATTTATTTTTGGTTTCAAAAAATTTTCTTATCTGCATATTTTTAGGCATACTTTATAAAGAGTTCAAATGAAAAACCTGTCTTAATAAATCTGCCAAAGTATAAACAAATTAATCTATAATTTTATAAATATAATTTCAACCTTATTGCAAAAGGCTGTAATTTGAGAGTCATTTATGTCTTAAAATAATACCCCTTTTTTATTTTATAGGGCAGGGAAAATTGCTTGATGGCTCAGGCAAAATTTTTATTTTCCCGGAAAATATTTCTTAATTTTCATACCCTGATTTAACGAATTTATAGTGATGGAAAATATTATTCGCTAAATTGCAGATAATTCGTAATCTCCGGGACAAAATAAAAATAAAAGTTGACTAAATGAAATATTCAAACAAATTTACTAATGTTTATTGAAATTTAAAAATAAAAATGAATGCTATCGTGATTTATATATATTTTCAATCTCGTGAACTATAGTCTAGTTGTGCAGGATGTTCTATAAAGTCCACTCTTAATAAAAAAAATTCGAATCCTTGTTAAAAATAAGGTTGGAAAAAACTATGAACGAGGAGAAAAAAATTTAAACTGCTACTGAAATCGGATGAATCTCTTCTGTGAACATTCTGCTGGACCTTGATTGTCAGAGGAAACTAAAGAATTTAAAGGTAATTGTAAGAAAGACTTCCAGATTTCCGCAGGTAATCAAAATGGTTTTGGATATTTTTGTCCTACCTGCCACGCTAGCGATTCAACAGATTTAATTACGGTGTTTGCTCCCCTAGCTTTAAATATTACTTTGTGATCCCTAATAATCTACACATTTTTTTAACTTTATTTATGACAAGGTTTCTGAAATTTGGGTGATTTGATATGAGTACCCCCAGAGATGATTCAGGAGTTTCCTTGTCAGGAGTTGTATGTGTGTATATATATATA